ATTCGTAACTAAAAGTCAAAGGATTTCTGCTAAAGGGCCAGTGCTCCAGACTGAATGAAAACACCGACTGCTGAATCACCATTCTCCTCCCCCAGAGTGTCCACCCTAACTTCACATAAGAAAGGGAAACCTGTAAGAACACTCTAGCACCCTGAAGTGGAGGTTGACGGGGGAGATGAAGGCAGACTGAGGAATAGCCAGGAACAGCCCATTTGGTCTTCATCTGGCCCCAGCTGATGGGCAGTGCCCCAGATTAGCTGAATCCTAAGGCCCAAGGGCAAACACAGCCACACCCCACAAGAGCCTGCAAGGAAGAACTCAAGGGAGTTGCTGAATGAGGATCCTTCTCAGCACAGTAGGACTCAGTCTCTCTCTTCTTCCTTCTCTGGGACCTTCAACACACCAGCCAGTTGCTCCAGGGCAGAGATTGGACACAGCAGCCCATGCCCTTAAGTGAACTCAGGTTTTGAACAGTTGGCTACTGGTGTAGCTACTTCAACCACACAAAGAATAAACTTTACAGACATGAGTTTTCCTCACTGTGATTCCTCGGGATGCCAGGCTCCTCCCCAGTTTCACCCAGCCCACCAGATCTCTAAAAGCCTCATCTAAAGGCACCACCCCCGAGTGTAACATGTGGGAGGAAGAATTTCACTGCCACCAGGTGGACACGAGAGGACCCAAACAAACATATATGTAACCACATCGAGGTAGTTCTCTTTTCATTTAAAGGTGAATACACAGAAAAATAAAAAAACCTTAGCAACTATGAAAGTACGCAGAGTCATGAAATAAAGAGGTAGATATGAAAGAAAGAGGTAGAAGAAAGCACATTTAGGGAAAAGATTTACTATTAGAAAAACTTAGCATTTACTATCTTCCTTAACAAAAGTAATACAAACCACTGACTTAAAGAAATAAAATATAAATAAATAAAATATGAAAGGATTAAACATAAGAATATGTTTTTTAAAAAGCCAACAGAGTTAAGGAAATGATATCATAAATATTATAGCAGAATTTAAATCAATCTTTAAAAGAGCAGAATCAAGAATGCAGAATATTAAATCACGTGGAGGACAAACACAAAAACCTCACACCAGAAGCACAGGAAAGAAGATGACAAGGATAGAAAAAATATTGAAAGGGAAAATTATCTGTATGGAAGACAAAAGTGACCCAATGCATGAATGATTGCTATTCTTTCACCAGAGACCAGAACAAGTGAATTAGAAGTAACATTATAAAAATAATGTTAAAGAAGAAAATTTCCAGAAACTGAATTAAGACTACCTTGACCAATAGAGTTGGATAGTAAGTGATTTCCTAGACCAAGTCATAAAAATGCCATGAGTTTCTGTTGTGTCCTTTTGGGGGACACTCTCAGAACCCAGCCATCACGCTGTGAGAAAGACAGGCGGCCACGTGGAGAGGCCACACGTGACAGTTCTGGTTGAGCTGTACCTAACATCCCTGCCAGCAGCCTGCATGGAGCACATGTGAGTGAGCACATGTCCCAGCCCCCAGTGCCTGAGTCACCTCCAGCCTTCAGGTGTCCTCCAGTGACACTGTGTGAAGCAAGATGAGCTGGCCCTGCCAAGCCCTGGTCAAATTGCAAGTTCATGAACAAACTAAATGATTATTGTTATTTTAAGCCACTATGTTTGGAGGTTTTATTACACAACAATAGATAACTTAAATATCAACAAAAAAGCTTCCCAACTAAAAGGACGTAACTAAAAAATAAAAGGACGTAAAACATATTCTGAAGCCGTGGGCTCCTGTGGGGTGATTTGCTGCTGCTGCCTGGGAGCTGAGATGTGAGTAATGGGCAGGGCGGGGGGTAGGGGGAGACAGAGGACTCAGATTTATATTCTTCCCCCACAGAATCGTGGCGGAGGCAACCCTGAGAACACTAAATCCCCAGAGCATCCTTCCAAAACGCCCACTGTGGTTATCTAAGAGACTCCCTGGCAATCACCTAGGGGCTGAAATATCTTTTGGACAAGTTTTCTATACAAGCACACATGTATACACACGCACACACACAATAACACTGGTTATTTATGTGATGAACAGGTCATCTTTTAATGTTTATAATTCAACTTGGAAAGTTCTTTTCCAGTGGATCCAGGAGCTGCTTAGATGGGATAAACAACGAGCGTTATCCTGTAATATTTTTAGATCAGCTCAGGTCTGTGGCAAACCATAATTCCGGAAGGTGTTGGGGGAGGAGAAAGTCAATGCCTAATACTTGGTGACATGAATTCTCTTGGTGACTGATGTCCTACTCCTTGGGGTTCTGAAAGTCCTGCTTCAGTTGTTTCCTATGGATGGCTGACTCCCCCCATGCCTGGGGCCACTTCTACCAGCAGAACTTGGAGAGCCTCCTGGGAGCCGGTAAGAAACAGTTCTAGGTGGCTCTGCCACTGGCCCCCTAAGGGCTGACTCATCCCTAACACACTCCCGCTGGGAAATTGAGAATGTCTATTCAAGATGCACAGCACTGGCCATGTGACAGAACCAGGGGGATGGAGAAGGTATGGGGGGATAAAAGGAAACCACTGAACTTTTTAAAAATAAAGGGCTTAATACACAGTGACCAAGTATACTAAATTTAATCCTACCTACTGAGTAGCTGAGCTGGGCCCACTAAAAACAGAGGTGTCCCTTCATCTGACAATAAACTAAAATAGAATTCAAAAGTGAGGCAGAAGAGACATAAGGACCAGCCCAGTGTGGCTTCCCAAGCAAAGCAGGATGGGGTGGAGGAAACCCTCTCCTGCCTTTCTGATTTCACAGCCAGGATTGTGTCTCCAGGGCCCGGCCTCTCTCTGGGCAAACGCCAGTGCTGTGTCTGCTCCCTGTGGCTCCGACATTCCCCTTCACCTGCCCGGCGGGGACAGCCCTTCTTGCCCCTCCCTGGCTCACTGTGAAGACAAACGCAGAGGTCCATTTCAGTGTTTTATAACAAAATCTATGAGGAAACTGACAAAGGGCCTCAAAACTAGGCAACATGGGGAAGGAACAGAGGTCTGACATCTTGGCGGTGGGAAGGGTTGGCCGAGGCCCTGTTGTGGCTCCCAGTGGAACAAGCACAGGGAAGAGAACTTCCTCTGACTGCCCTGACTGCCTTCTCTTCCCTGAGTCAGGCTGGGCTTTTAGGATCCTTCTTCTGAAGTCTTCATTGTGGTCTTTATCACCATGAAATGTACCACCTTTTCAAAAAAAAAAAAAAACTATATAAAAAGTTATATTCTTAAAAAATATTCCCATAGGGAACAATTGTTCCCCTAATCCATCTGCCTTTTGATACATGACAGATTGGCATAATACGGAAAACCCAAGGACTAAAAGTCCATACAATCCAGAATTTATCAGGCTTGAGGATTTTCCTGCCCTTTCTTGATTTTATTTCCTTTCCTTCTAGTCTTCTTTTCTCTCTCTCTCTCTCTCTCTCTCTCTCTCTCTCGTGTGTGCATGTGTGTGTTTCCTATCTTGTCTAGAAAATTATCTTTTTCTTCCCAAAGATATCAACATGGTTGATATCTTTTTAATTTTTTGAGCCTCTACTCAGTATATAACTTTTAGTCTCTCATGCCCTGGTATTTCCCCACCCAGATTCCTGCCAGCCACCTGGACAGGTCTATGTTTCCTGCATAACAAAGACTGCACTTCCCACCACAAGGCTGTGTGGGCCCCTGCCCCTTCATGGTGCCATTACAGGGAGCCTGCATTTGTGCTCATGTGATCTCAGGAGGGTCTCAGGATTGGCAAAGGATTCTGAATTAGCCAAGAACATTCACATCTCTGAAAACTGATAAAAATATGGAACATCAGAAAAATGATAAATCATTTTAAGATTAGCTATGATTTTAGAGACTTTGTGTCCAATGAGCAGAATTGTCTGTCTGGTGTAGAAAAAGGGAATGGTAATAGCTAACATTTAATAACCCTTCTATATGCCAGGCACTGTTCTAAGCATTTTACCTACATTGACTCATTTAATCCTGATACCAACTCTATAGGGTGTTCTTATCTCCACTTACAAAAGAGGAAACTGGAGCCCAAAGAGATTGGGCAATTTACACATAAGTCTCCCAGCAGTAAATGATAGAACCAGGATTAAAATTTGGGCAGTGTAGCCCCAGAATTTAGATTCTTAACCATTATGCCCATAAGACCTGGGGGAAAGGGTCTGGGAAAAACCCAACAGATTGCCTTTCGTAGTAGAAAGAGCAATGGAAATAGAATCAGAAATTAGCAGTAGGCACAGAATAGCTGTGTGATGTGAAACAAAGCATTTTAACTCTCTTCATATCGAGTTTTTCTTTACTCTATAAAATAAGAAGAACTAAACAAACTCACAGGATAAATGTGAGGATTAAATATGAGCATACTGGTAAAAGAGAAAGGTGTATTAGTTAGAAATTATACTCCATTGCTTAATAATGGAGGCTAGTAATATGAGATGCACCAACAAGATGGAAATTTGTTTAGCTCACATATTTTGTGTGTGTGTGTGTGTTAAATTATTTTATTTTATTTTATTTTTTCGGCATATTATGGGGGTACAGATTTTAAGGTTTCAATAAATGCCCTTTCCCCCCTCCCCCCACAAGTCTGATTCTCCAGCATGACCATCCCTCAGATGGTGCACATGTCACTCATTATGTATGTATATACCCGTCCCCCTCTCCCCTCCCCCCTCCCCAATACCCTGTTACTGTAGTACCCATGTGTCCACTTAGGTGCTACTCAGCTAATACCGGCAGCAGTCCTAGGCTGCTAGTATTATTATGGGTCCAGATACCTTTTATCCTCTACAATTCTTAGTACATGTCCTCTTACATTTTCCATACTCAAGGTTGCCTTATGACCCAAATGGCTGCTGCAACTTCAGCCATCATGTCTACTTTCCAGGGAAAGTAGAGGGAAGGCATTAAGGAATAGAAAAAGTCTGCATTACCTGTCTTCCCTTTTAAGTCACTTTCCCAGAATTGCCATCCAAAAACTTCATACATTTCATTGGTTAGAATTAAGTCACATGATAGTATCTAGCAGCAAAGGAAGCTGGGTATATGGCCTCATTCCTGAGCACAGTACCATCTGAATGAAATCAGCGTACTGGTACTAAATAAACAGGAGACATGGAAATCGGTTAGGCAACCAGCAGTCTGTGGCCATAGCAGGGAACTAAATTTTATTGAGCATCAACTCCCTGCCAGACACCTCACATAAATTTTCTCATTTGATCCTCATAATATCCCGGAAAGATTTAAAAGTTATCATTACATTTATAGATAAGGAAATGAGATCAAAAAGAATAAGCAACACAGCTGCTCATATGGGGAAACAGATTTAAACCAGATCTAACTTCAAAACTTGAACTCTATCCACATCATTCAGCCTCCAAAGGTTTCTCTAAGGAAAAATATTTTGTAAAAGTTCAAACATCGTGTATATGTTTAAGACTTCTGTTGCATTAATATTTAAAATTATGTCTCATCTACTTCCCTATAGAAAGTGAGGGACTAAGTTCAATTATTTTGTAAAAACTGCAGAAATAAAACTGCGTATCATTTCAGTTGGTGGAGGAGGAACAGCCACTGAGCGTATATACGTGTGTGTCCCGGTTACTGATGCGTCCATGCTTTGAATACATTTCCTGGCCTCTCTCTCCGACAGTCAGGACAACCAGGCAGCAAAGGTCATTCTTCAGGAAGCAGACCATCACTCTGAGTCATATCTATCCTCGAGTTCCAGCTCCCTTTCCTGTAGCCACAGAGTGTTTATGCTAGAAAGAAAAGATGATCTTTATGTTTTCTCTCCTCTTAATTCATTTTGAAAGGAGGTATGGCAGAGAACACAGGGGACTCATCCAAATCCTATGGCTACATTTGCATCCTGGGTCCATTCCAGAAATCCCAGTGTTGGGAGATTGAGGAGGTGCAAAGCAAGGAAGGAAACAGACATGTCTGGTCCTCTGTAAACAGGCTTTTCAGCACCATGTTCAATCTCCTCCCTGCAATCCACTCCCCTGCCCTAAGTAGAAGACAGTCCTTATTTGCACAAACTAGGGATAAAATTGCTGGCTTTGCACTTTCTTTCTACAGCGTGACCCTCAGGACATACAGACTTTGCAGGGCCCTCTGTACAGCAGACACAGAGGCTGAGCATGCAGGCATCTGGCACATCATGACGTCTACAGCCTTTCAAGTGTCCAGAATACTTGCTCTCCCGCCCCTGTCAGCAACATTTTCTTTGGAAGGCCAAGTCATTTATCCCACTTCCAAGATACCACATATGACCTATGAGTATTCTTTCCTGAGAGCAGATTTTGATGGGAAAGAGAAAATGAGGACAACATGAGGATGGAAAAAGACAGCCTGGTGGCTTGAAGATGAACTTTCTTACCTTAACAAGTTTTTCTTACGGATTAACCTAAATAAGAGTTTTTCACACACTTCACACAGCTCCTCTAAAGGAACAAAAATTTTGATGGCTTAAGAAAGAGGCAGAAAAAGGAGGGGGGAGATTTTCAAAGTACAGAACGCATGAGGGTGGCGGGGGTGAAGGAAGCAAATGAGACGAGAGAAATGGCAACTGACAGCAGAAAAGAAGAAACTTCTGGAAGGCAAGAGAATTGAAAGGATGCCTAAGGTGTCTCCATCTGCCTGCTGCACAGCAGCTCCTAGACCAGGCGCTGAATCACAGGGCACATCTGGTGTGTGCCACCTAAGCCCAAGAGGCAGCTGTTTGAAGGCAGAGTGAACAGAACTTGAATGTGGCACACAAGGCCCCCCTGGTGCTGACCAGAGTTAGTGCTGGGACAAGAAATCAATGGGTCAGGTCCAGAGACCCATTCACCCACACTATACCATTGCAGTAGAAATGCTATAAACATCTTGAGAAGTCAAAATTTAAATCCAGCCTTCCAGTTCATTGCTAAAATGTATTTGTCACGATGAAAAGATAGAACATATTTTATTTGACATCTTGCAGCCAGACTTACAACTTTCAAGAATTGGACACAGGCTATATGGGCTTCCATTTGTACTCATACCCTGGGCCCAAGTTTAAGCGTGGGCCTACTGGGCTTCACTAAAATCTCTTCACTCAAGTAGGAGAACACTAGAGTCAAAGGCAGGATGGGAGTAGGGGGCTGTCTAGGTTCCGTCACCAGCAATCTGTGTGCCCTGGGACCAGCCATGTGAACTTTCTTAAAGCTATGGGACTAGAAATCCCATTAAGTTTGAACACTCAGTGAATGAGGAAATATAGGTCTTGATTCACCAACAGAGAGAATGGAGCAGGCAAGGGTTTGGCCAACATTAAGTTACCACCTAAATTAATCCAGAAAGAATTTCAATATCCTGCTTTTGTGCTGTATGTTTTCCACTGAAAGAACTATTTTGAACAGAGGCCTGAATAATAAGAAGGAAATGCTCCACAGACCCATAACCAGGGAAATTCTTGCACTCCGGGCCCCACATGATCACATTTTTCTGTGATTAGTACAAGGTTTCTCAGATAGGTGTTGTTTGCATTATAGAAATGGTTCCAAAATCAATAAGAAGTGTTATACCTTATCTCTCTCCAGAAGGAAAAAACAATAAAGCATGGTGTAAACCATGGCTGGCAGGCTGAGAAATGCATACATGCATGTCTACTACAAAACGACCACAGCCTGGAGGCAGCATTTATCTAACCTCACTTTAGAAGCCAGTTCTTCCAGAGGAATCATCCCAAAGAAACTGCATTACAGAAAAGTAAGACTAAGAAATAGTTTTGTTTCCCTTGCCACCTGCTTCCACCCCAAATAGGAAATGACATCAGGAAGCTAAGACCCCATTAAAATTTGAAGGAGTTTATGGTTTCCATAAGAGAAAAAACTTGATTCTATTTGAGTTATAAATCTCTCGCTTTTCAACTGGATGAAGTTGCATAGAACAAAATACGTCAGGGAAGCAGCAGCCTAGAGTGTAGACATAAGTCATATCAAATGAGAATAAAGGATAACCAGTCAGGTGGCAACAACATGTAGGTTGATGTAGCAGTCAGTAGAAATCAAAGAAAGATAACTCATTGCAATAGGAGTGGTCTAAACTATGATGATGGCATTGGGAACAGAAGGATGGGATGTGGGTGTGAGAGGAATAGATTTAATGTTGTATTTGGGGAAGAAACTCAAAATATTATAAAACATTGACCTTGAGTGAGCAGACGAATGATGCCACCAACAGAAATGGATGAGCCTGAGAAGAATCAGGAGGAATTCAAGTTTATACATAAATTTAAGATGCAATGGCCAGGCGCAGTGGCTCACACCTGTAATCCTAGCACTCCGGGAGGCTGAGGTGGGTGGATCATTTGAGCTCAGGAGTTCAAGACCAGCCTGAGCAAGAGCAAGACTAGAAAGAAATTAATTAGCCAACTAAAAATATATAGAAAAATTAGCCAGGCATGGTGGTGCATGCCTGTAGTCCCAGCTACTTGGGAGGCTGAGGCAAAAGGATTGCTTAAGCCCAGGAGTTTGAGGTTGCTGTTAGCTAGACTGATGCCACGGCACTCTAGCCTGGGCAACAGAGTGAGGCTCTGTCCAAAAAAAAAAAAAAAAAATGCCTTGCAGTGGAGCAGTCAAGTAGGCATCTGAAAATTCAAGGGTGAAGCCAAGAAAAGAGCACATAGTTTGGATTGGGAGTCATTCAAAATTGAGGTTGGAGACAAAGCCACAAAAGCAACTGTATAATAAGAGGGAAAGGTGAGTAGAGCTTAAGGACCCTGACTTGTATGGAGAGGAAGAAGAAAAGGGAGCCAGAGAAGACAAAAGAGGAAATGGTATCTGGAGAGCTAGAAAGAGAACCAAAACAGGAGAGTTAAGGAGAAGAGAATTTTAAGAAGAGTGCAGCCAAGTTTAGGTTAAAGGAGAAAGAAATCCGAGAAAACATGGGGATCTTAGTAACCTTTAGAGAGGACAATTTAGAGGGAAGATCAGGGCTAATGCCAGGTTGACAAGATGAGGATAAGAGCAGAGGCATTAGAAATAGCAAGTGCACATTACTCTTTGGAGAAGTTTGGCATAAAAGGGATGTTAGCAGAGGGATCCACAGCAGGAGATACATAGCAGATTTTATGGAGAAGGGAAAGCCAACCAAGTATTAAGCATACACCAGAGGAGGCATTCTCATTCTTACCCCAGGAATGCCAGAATGAGTGGGTTATCCCACAGCCACTGGGCAAGTGCCAAATGACCCCAGAGATGGTCTAGTCCACTTGCCTGCTATCAGTGCTGATTAGACTTGAGCGTCTAGAATGTGCCTGGATTTTCTCAGAGAAAGGAGCAATAGAAACACAAGACATTGAGATAAGCAATACATGCATATGAAACAAAAGTTGGCCAAGTGAGTCCAAAGGTAAAGGTTGATCTTAATGGGAAATGACTCAAATGTCCCCATGGACCTATTGAAATAAGGCTTTCACAGACTTGAGTACAATAGGCTATCAACATGAGTTTGAGACACAGGAAAACTAATTATGACCACAGCTCTGCAATTCCCTTTGGGTGACCCAAGACAAGCTCTTCAAATTCTGAGTTTTTTGTTGTTTGGGGGGGAGGGTTGGTTTTTTGTTTTTGTTTTTGGGTTTTTTTTTTTTTAGTGAGTTTTCATTTTCTTAACTGATAAAAGAAATATCTCCCTGACCTATCACACTGGGTATTGGGAGATTAAGATACTTTATAAATTACAGAGGTCTCTACAAATGTATATTTTGCTTCCTTCCGGGTACCATTGAGACAAAAAACATTGTATTCTTAATGGTCTCATAAGCTTGAAACATAAGTTTTAAACCCTCAGTATCACGAAAAAGTTGCATCAAACTTGCACTGAAGTCTACTTTCTGAAACCTTGGGGTAGGGGAGGGAATATAGAAGCAAGCTGGTGGCTCCTGTTCTCTCTACTCTTCAGACTGGCAATGCAGTTTTAGATTAAACATTTTTCTAAGTACTTCTCTCAAAGTCTCAGCAAAAGTAAAGCACATAAGGGTTCTTCCCACTGATCATGGGACTTTAAAATTCTCAAAGTTTTGTTTCAAACAGTTTGACAAAAGGATTTTTCATCTCATATTTTATGTGGGTAGCAAATTAACTAACAGGGACTAATTCAATCAAGCTGTTGTATTTTATGAGTTCATTTAAATTTCCTGACTGAATTATAGCTTCTGAATTCAGTTTTTTCCCATTTAAATTTCAGTGTTATAATACATTTCCATAGGAAAAAAATCTGGCCTTTTTATGGGGCATTTGGTATCTAAAAATAGAAAAATTAATAATTTTGTTAAGTTCAAAGAATTGGCAGTGTTTGTTCCTACAAAAGGAGAAAGAGAAATTAGACAGGGTTCATGTCTGACTAAATACCTAGATGTAAATACTAAAATCATTGATTCTAAAAATTTAAAGAATAATTAAGATTTAAAAAAAATAAAGATTTTTTTCTTTAAATATAAGAAGGGCCTTATTCAAAATGGAATCCCAGGGATATACTGGTTTTGCTAAGGACCAAATACATGGCTCAGCATTTTGCCAGTGTCAAGAATATGGTAGGTTTTCAATGAATATATGTCAAATAAGAACTTTTTTTTTAAAACGGACCTAAATTACACCAGAAGGAGCTGAAGTTATATAGGAAGGATAATTCTCTCAGTGGAACAGCATAGCTCCTACAAGGGGAAGTGAATTTTCCAGACATGGTGTCCAAGCACCTCATAGGCAAGCTAAATAGGCTGCCTACAGCTGAAGGCTGTAGTCTTCAGTTTTTAAAATGGTTTATTTGCAATAGCCCTTCAATTTCAGATACTAGATATTGGAATACAGAATCCCAGACAGGTTGTCTAGAGATATTTCATCTTTAGGCAGAACTGAAACCCTGGAAAGGTACAGAAATTGGGCCAGAAGGATATTCTTCTTCCCACAGAGAATTCGTTGGTTCATAAACCTACCTATTTAGCTGACTTGGAATGCTTTGAACAAATAGAAAATACAGTGCCTTCAAAATTCAAACTTTAATAACATCATCAGGCTTAGTAGAAGACTCTATTCGCTTCACTAGAAAGAGAAAGGGTTATAAATTTTCTGTATTTAACTTTGTCTATGACATACCTCAGCTAGCTCTCAGATGCATTTATTGGATACCTATTATGTGTTAATTGCTTTCATATTATCCTCACAGTAACCCTGCAGAATTCAGAAATGCAGGTCATTTACTCCAGAACATTTAAGTATTAACTGGCAGAATCTGGATTTATATCCAAATATGCCTGGCTCAAGGTTTATTTTAAGCATCTCTTTATTAGTATGGCTATTTCTGCATTACAAAAAAATCATAAGGTAGTTTGCTGTCACCTCCTCCTGCTCCCTCCGTGTGAAAAGAGAACACTGCACGCCAAGGGATTCCCTGGGTCCGTGAGCAACGGAGGCAGCCCTCTGTGAGCTGGCCTGTGACCCCAGTGACCAATACGGCAAAGCCCCCTATGTCATGGACACAAAGAAGGAAGGTCTCCTCCCTTGATCAAAGTGTGGTTCTAAGGGTCCCTGCCTCCTTACCTGCTCATTTTCTCCCCCAAACTTTGTTTATCTCCAGCCACAAGAAAAGCTAATGTTTCCATTGGGACCTTACTAGAATGACCTCACAATTGTGTCTGCTGAGTCTGGCTCCATTTACTGCCTAATATTCCACCTTTGTCCATATGCCCAGAGGCCTCGGCAAGAGGAGGTTTTTACAAGTCTAATAAATAATTATATGCAATATTTATTGCAGTCCATTCCTATTACATCAGTTCCCATTAAAACCAACAGAAAAGAAATGCTGGTTCTTTCCCCAGAGCACTGCATCACATGCTATAATGTAATTCCTTATTAGGCAAAATAGGCAAATGGATTTGGGCTTTTTTAAAGCCCCTTCCCCCCACACACACACTCAAATAATGCCTTTCTGATGTAAAAACTCTTTGAAGATTTCTTTACTACTTGCTAGTTATGAGCGCCTCTCCTGTTGTAGGTTTGAGCCAAGGCTAATAATGCTGAAATAGCAAAGCAAAATACCTTCCAGTGAAGTACATCATCTTTCCAGTCGCAGTTGGGAAGCTCACATGGGAACATTTGCCTTGGAGATCTTTCTGTCTGATTTCACAAGGTGAAGCTTCTCATTTGCCCCTGGATCAGCTTCTGTCTTCAAAGTAATCTCTATTCAGTTCAAAATATACTTGCTGTATGCCTTCTGTTGTCCATTTTTATGACAGAAGTTGCTTAAGAAAATGTGAAAACAAATCATTGGCTAATAAATGTCTTATATTGTGCTTTCTGGTTTATAGATCATTTTCACAAACATTACCTTATTTAATTTCTGTATTATCCTGCAAAAAAAAATCAGTGAGGTAAACATTATAATGATTTTCCAGATAAGGAAACTGAGGCTTAAAGAATTCCAATTCTGTGCCCAAGATCACATGCCTCCATGAAGGGTCAAATCCAGTTATTGATAGAAACTTCCAGCTTTCCCTCATATGTCCTCTCCCTTTCTTCTTTTAGCAACAGAACCCTCAACTTTTAGCTGGGCATATGACCACCCAGCAGAAAAGACTACATTTCCCAGATACCCCACGTAGCTAAGTGTGACCGCACCACTGAGTTTTACCCCTTTCTCCTTATCGCTAGATGTGGCCATTGACAGGTGCAGGAACAGCCATCTCAGATGACAAGGTGACCACAGACATCTTGCATAGCAGAGCAACAAGGAGCTTGGGTACCTGCAGACTTTATGGCATAAAGCGACCATACCACCTGGACTGCCCATATCCTGACATTAATATGAGAAAAAAATACAAGAGAGAGATGAAACAGAAAACCCACACCTTGTTTAGACTACTATTATTTTGATTTTACTATTATTAGCAATTGAACCTAAAGTTAGCTGATATGTTAAGTCTTAACTGATAAGTAATTTGACTCCTTCCCTACCACATGATGAAGATGAATGACTGGAGAAAGAAATAATCAGACTAGACTGGATGGATTTTTTTTCAAATGCCCTAGAACAACAGTTGAGATGGGGAAACTAGGAGACTTCTGTAGGGTTTGGCATTGCCATTTGATCAATTAATTTATACATAAACTCATTTTTCTATCTTAGTATTCTTGGGTGGAGATGCAACTATATTAACATCAACTAAACTTTCCAACCTCTTAAATATCAACCTTTGCCAAGTAGCAATGCCAGTAGAGAGAAATCATGGAGGTGAGAGGCTGTGCCTTGGAGGTTGTGCCATCTCCCAAACACCAGAAGCCTACATCTGATACCAAATGATCTGAGACTCGAGACTGCCTCTGAGACCAAGACACAGGGTGTGGTCCTCCCGTGCATTGGTGCAGCCTGCGAAGCGATCCCATTGTTGTCTATCCGCAGTCTGGGCTGGGCGTCTGCCTGCCAAATCCCAGCAGGCACTGATGGACATCGGCTGAGCAAGACCACCCCAACAGGCCTGAGCTGGAGAATATGCCCCAAAAAGCCAAATCCCAAGACACAGCCCACTCTGAGACTCAGCCTCTGCGCCAAAGAGCTGTGGGAAAGTTGGCGAAGAACTGAGAACTCCAGATGGGAAGCCCAAGAAGGGCGCAGACACTTCTCCACACTTGTCAAAACCCTCCAAACCACAGTCCATGGTAGCCACATAGCCAGCTGCAAACTTTAACCACGAAACCCAGGCTTCTGAAGGAGCCTGCTTAGACAGAGCTGCAAACCCTTGTCACTACCCAGTCCCTTGGTCCTTCACTGCTCAGATGGGGGAGGGCTTAGAGAGGGTGAAGGACTTACGTGCAGTCATACAGATTGTTAGAGGCAGTGCTGGGACGGACAGCCAAGGCTCAGCCCCATGCCCCCACCATCCCCTCCTCCCCAACCCCCAATCCCTCAGCGTCAGAGTAGTAAAGGTTTGATGAGATCACGTGAACTCACTCCTCAGTGTCTCCATCCCATGCAGCTCGAATGAGCAAAAGGTGAGGGGACAACCATCACCTTGCATGGAGCACGGCTCCCTGTGCCGGGCAGAGCTCGCCCCATCCAGCCCCCGTCTGGGAATTTAGTCAACATTCTCCCAGCCATTCTGATTCCTTGGGTGTGCTAAAGGCACTTTCTGCACGTTCCCAAAAGACTTTGTGCCTGCCACTGTCTTAACTTTTATTATGTTGTGTTAAGATGATGTATTTGTTGAAGTGTCTTGCTCATTAAAATTTAAACTCTGTGAGAGCTAGCCCCTCTGATCCTATAGATCTGTACTGCCTAAGTGTTTTACACATATCATATCTAATTTAATCCTCAAAACAGCCCTATTGTCCCAATTCTACAAATGAGGAGACTGAGGCACGCAGAAGCAACAGAACTTAACTAAGCTACACAGCTAATTACACCAGCAGCAGAGATGGGGTTTAAACCCAGGCAGTGGGACTCCCAAGAGCTCCTAGCTACTCTGCTGTACTGTTTCTTCTACATCAGATTAAGCATTTCATCCCCATATTTCAGTTAAATGCCCTTGGACTTTTTGGAGAGACTATTTATAAATGGAAAAAAAGAGTTGCTTTGTCATATCATTTCCAGACCTAACATTCAAGGCTGCCACAGAGGATCATTCGTTGTGTTCAAGTGACTTCCAGGTGCTGTTCTCTGTATCTCTTGCTTCAGGAATTTTTTCCAGACATTGGCTCTGCCCACGTGCAGCAGGCCAGAGTGACAGGGAGTTAACACCTTCTGGGAACAGCCCTCAACCAACGACTCTAGGGTGCTGGAGTATAAACGTCCCAGCTCCCTCGCCCCTCAGATGGTACACCTCAAAGCATGGGTCTGTTTCCACAGTTCCCCACAGGTGCAAGCTCGAGGTGCCGCTGTGGTAGCTGGCTTGGCAGTGCGCCTGTGTTAGCTGCCGTCCCTCCCTGTGTCATTCCCTACTTCCTTAGCAGTGTTCTCTATATTTCCCAAATAGGCCATTTATATTTTAGTCTCAAAGTCTACTTCTGAGAGAGCCTGGCTGCTGTGCTATACAATCCTAGAAGGCCCAAATCCCACTGCAGTCTGTGTGAATGGCACTCCCTTGAATTGTGCCATGCCTAACCCATGTGGCTAGTGTGGCCAAGCAGAAGGAAGCTTCTGTCAGTTGACTCTCCTACCTTAGTTAGCTATCTGCCAAGCAGATTACCAAAAATCTGTCATGTACACAGCAATGGTGACCATGAGGCTGTTGCTTAATTTCACCCCTAACCCTGACAGGTCTATCTCCCAACAATCTATAAATCTGATCAGAATGTGATTGTCATTGTACCTTTAGGGGCTGGTCATACAACAAATGCTAGGAGAACAAAGGAAAGGAAGATGAGGAAACCCTGTAAACAATGCAGAATGGTAAAAGAAGTCATGGAGCAGGGCAAGGGGGGCAGAATTACAGAATAACTGGAAGTGGGACAGTTCAACCTAAAACAGAAATTCAACACGAAAGCAAATGGTTAAGAAGCAACCTATACTCTAAACTTATACTTCTAAAACCCTCTGTCCTCAATATCTTGAATAGCAATTACCCAGATACAAAGATACTCAAAGTATTGCCTGACAAAGTATAAAACATAGACAAATTCAATTCAAGAGAGTGAAAACTGTATATATAAACCACAACCCCTCTTTAATATGTACATTTATTTTTTTAAGTCTTGTCATTATCAAAATGTTCATTCAGAGAGAAAACAATTTTCTTGATAAGTTTTAGTTTATGCCCTTATTACAAAAGAGAAATAGGCTCCCACTTTACAGACTTTTATGAGGAATAACTAATGAAAATATAGGCTGGCTACACAGCCCTCACAGGGAATTTGAAGCATGGTTTGGACCATTGCAGCTATCAGTTTCAGCTTTCTAGTTTCAGAGAACACATGTTTCTCAGCTTACATCACATCACCCATGTACGCTCAGTAGACATCAATTAATCACTAAGGCGTGTGGGCCGGGATAGCATTAGACAGCTTTTTAGCTTCACGTGTGCAAAAGTCTTTCTAAGTATCCTTG